TCGTCAATTCTCTTGTCTCGCCCATGATGGATCGTTTGTCTCTAAAGTATGAGTCTCAAACTTGGCCAGCTAAATTTTTGTAGAATCAATACTTCAATATAGAATATGACAGATTAATACGAAGATAACAGAAAGTAATAAAGAACTGCTTTAGACAAGTTGTCTATTCTGAGAGAGGCATTTTTTAATATGTATGCCTTGGAAATGCAGGTGGGCACAAATACCTACTTTATTTATACAGAGTGAAACACTGTAGTGATGGCGCAGGAATGAGTGAGCAATAGTCTCGCTAATGAAGAGCGACCATAATGTGATGTTATCGGGCGAAACAAAAAAGCCACAGAGCTTTCCCAGAAGACACTTTTCCAAGGAACTGTCGCCAATAGGCAATAGCTTCCAATGCAAAAGCACCAAAATACAAAAGTGTAGAAGCACTTGATTGAGATAATCAACACCAGAATACCACCTTGGTTTGGACACAACACTCATAAAGCATCGCATCAATTCTTCGATTACTCTCGTATTGCCGCTCCACTCCTCAGAACATTTTGATTGGATGAAACTCCAGTATGCCGAAGGTCAGGATCAATTCGCGACTCGGAAATTTGCGATGTATCATAGACCAGTGCACAATGGAAAGAGTTCTGCGCTCAGTTTCAGAGCACGGACTCTTTTCCACAGCAAAAGGACTTTCGTGCTCGATCTATTCATGGGGTTGAGGTCAAAAGCTGTTCGTTTTCATTTTCTTCTTTGTTCCGATCAATCATCGCTTGTCCTGGTTCCAATTTCTTTCATCAGTGAATTTCAAGTACCTAAAGAAGATAATCGCCGACTTGTATGCGCAGTTACTGGTCTTTAAGGTTCTGCGACCCAAGATTGATTTATCAGGAAGTTTTTGATCTCCCAATAAACTAAATAACGAGCGAACATTAGTTTTTGTAGCCCTCGACTGCAAACCCATATTCCAAATCGACGTCTGTTCACATCGAAACATGAGATATTGACGGGTTCAAAAGTTTCCCGACTTCATCTCGTCGCGATCGAGCTGCGACATGCTCGTCCAGATATGCGCAGTGCTGGCACACACCGTAGCCGGGGCGTCTTTGACCTACCATCGATTACGAGGCTAACCGCCACGTCGCGTCGACGCGCACACATGGCCTACCACCCGGTGTTCTTCGCATACAACCACTATTTTTCGCTTGTTCTTTCGGTCTTCTTGTTGTTCGTTGTTTATTCTTAAGTCAAGTTACTTTAGCCTGCTTGAAGGGTGCAGCCGTTTTCGGTTCTACAGAGACTATCGCAACTTTTCATTGGACTTTCGCTTAGTTACGAACCACTACCCAGCCTTATTATGGATTTGCTAGACCGCACAGTGAAGGAGCTCTCAGTGAGTGACAGTAATGCAAATTAATGCGATGGTCGTGATGTATTTTGTCCTTCTTATTTTATAACACCATAGTGGGCTGACCTGTCCTTGCTAGTGTTTAGAACGGGATTCAGTCATAAGAATGCAGAGATAGGACCGGCTTTGAATGATCTCGATTTGGACAAGTAGTCTAGAAACCTCTTGTTTGACTACGTGCTTATGCTACGACGAGGCGGTGCGCCTAGTTGTGTGGTTGCGTTATACAGCTGGAGCATTATTTCTGGTTATTTTAACTCAATTTGAGATATTGAGATAGCACAAGAGGTTCTTCACGGAGGACGAATTCGTCGGTAAGTTAGTGTCTACCCATTGTCCAGTGAAAAACGAAAATGAGGATCTTGGAAGTTACTGGCAAAGTAAAGGATTCTTGACAGCCATATGCACCGTGTCTTACACAGGCTGCCTTAAAAAAGTGCTATCAACTGTGAGGTTATTTATTCAAAAAAGTATGCACTTCTTGGAAGCGTTTTATTGTCAAGAGATGCTCTTCAGTTGGAAACAATTGCAATGCCGGCGAAAAGGGCGCCGGGAAATCGAGGAGTTAAGGCGGAATTCCTCACCAATCTCACGAAACTACGTAGGTTTTCAAAACTTTTAATTTCTGTTCGCCTTTCACATGTGTTTCATACAGTATGTGTCCAGCATTGATTTTCAGGACTGAAACCAAATGTACCTTTTTTCAAGTATGATGTGCGTATGCATGTGGTTTATAAAGGGAGAGGTGGTCGCGAACATCTTAGGGAACTCACCAAGCAAACCGAGGAGGAGTATGTGTTTACTGATGGTTTTCATTGTTCAGCCATAACACTGACATGACGGTGGTGGTGCTTTTACCTTAACCGAGAGCTTTCAGCTTCCCAGAGCAGGAGCGCAAAGCTTCGGTTGCGATTGTTTACGAGCGTCTAATTACCTCCTATCCTGACGTGTTCACAAAGCATGGCGCTTTATACTATGACCGTGGTTCCACCCTATTCTCTGCCGGCGTGCAGTTGAAACTTAACGGAGAGGTATGTTTCAGTGAGATTTCATACCGATCCTGGTCAGAAATTGTGTTTTCGTGGTCGTGTAGAAAAAGGAATTCACATTACCCGCGCGAGTGTTGCCGAATGAGGGTAATGGTGCAAAAGAAGTACGAGTAGTCGTCAAAAAGGTTGCGGACAACTTCCAGGTTGGGTCTATAAGGTTGGATTGGATTCGCAGTGTTCCAGTTTTACATGTTCCAGGTGACGTGGAATGATGTTCGAAGGGTTCTGAACGTTCAAAATACGTTCGAGCGTGCCAAAGGCGTTCTAGAGGTACTAAATATTGCGGTGTCGCAAAGGAGTTATTTAAAGACGTATGTTTCTAATAAAATACAAATATATATACACATGCATACATACGCATATGTAGAAATATAGTCGTATGTATGCATGTATATACATACATATGTCACTTATCATTATCACTTACTTCAGTACGACGGAGTTTTAGGTCTCAGTTTGTTGTCTACGGATCTGACATTCATTATTTGCACAATCATGGAGTATTTGGTCTTAGGTAATTGAATGTTTTGCATCTTTATTATTGGGAAACTAGGGAGAAGAAAGGGTGAACGGTTGTTTGTTTTCTGAACTACGAGCTGGGATTTCTACTGTAGATTTGACTTCTCATATTTCCACCTCGACAATCAATGACTTCGCATTCTATAATCTTCCAGAAATAATCAGATCCCAGAATTAATGGATGGCAAGTACATTGGAATTGGAGTATCGAAAAGCGTGAAAGTACTTGAAGGCGATAGTGGGAAATGCGACGTATTCGTCGTTGCCGACGGTATTTAGACCACATTTGATGAGTGCTTTGCCTTTTGTTGAATTTGAGTTGCTTTAGTATATTTTAGTCACGTCGAGCCCTTTCCACGCGGATGGACAGAATTTGCTCCACAAAATATCGCAAATGTCGATATTCATTGATCGGCGAGCGAGAAGGTCGAACTTCTCAGCGGATTTCGCCAACAAGCCCCATTTTGTGCGGATGATTCATCAGATCATTAAGGGTCCGATTTATATCAAAGTTGTGTGTTCATTTTTTAAAGCGGATGAGTTTAAGGGTTATATGTGACGACGATATACGGCAGAAAAAAAACCTTCGCAATCGGCAATATCGCTACGGCCGCTAGGAATCTTAAGTTAGTTTACGTTGTTGCTCTTCTTCAACGATTTTCCACTTTTGAATTCCATTTGTAGGATTCAAAGTGTCGATGGGAGCCAGTGTACTTTCGTGCAATATTTCAAGGAGCGTTATAATATTGAGCTGAAGTACGCCAATTCAATAGTATTACAATTGTTATGATGCTAGGTTTTACTACACAGATTTTCTTTACTGTATCCGCTTTACTTTCGTTTAGAGCAGAAAAGGAAGATTGTATACATAATGCAGGTACCCAGAATTATTTACTGTGTCAGAACGACACCGACCGCATACGTATTATCCAGTGGAACTCCTTTCTGTGGCTCCATTGCAAAGAGTCACACAGCAACAACAAACTCCTGACGACGTCGCAACTATTATAAAGGTGGTAGCTTAGTCACTTGTGCGATCATCAAGTTTTGTACTCTCGCAGGTTGTAGGCATCTGTAACGCTACCACAGCATCGTCTTAGTCAGACGGAAATGCTGAAGAATGCTCTAGGGATAGCACAGGGAAATTCTTTTCTTGAAGATGGAGGAATAGATGTCGAAAAGGATTTTACTAAGGTGTTCCGTTATTTCAGTATAACATCTAAGTATAGATTTTGTACACGTATTTTACAGGTGAATGGCCGCATTCTGCGTCCTCCAACCATTGTGTACGGAGGGTGTCGTAAAGCCACGGTCAGAAATGTGTGTTTACTTAATAATTAAAAATTTCGTTTTTTCCTAAGGTTACCTGTATATGGTAGTGCACTAAGGATGACATCATTCAGTGTAAATGGAATTGGGATTGCGAAGAATTTCTCCAACCTGCAAAGCTGTTAAATTGGGCCGTATGTGCGACGCTAACAGAGAACGATATGCGACAAGTGCCACTCAGGTAGGAGATTTGAGTGTTATTTGGTTGTGAATGGCGACTTTTCAACGATAGTATTCCATTAATTAGTGATTATATTGACCGAATCGAAAAGCGTTGTCGTCGGCATGGAATGGAAGTAGCCAAAGTTTCCGAAATCTTCTATCTAAGGCGTCAAAATTATGACGGGATGAGGGTTGGTTTCTTAATGATTACGTTCGTATAACATACCTTTTGTAGAATCAAATATAAGAGTGTGTCATTTACTTTTTTTTAATGCAGAATAAGCATGTTTATCTAAAGAAAGGCCAAAGGTATTTGCTTTTGTTAATATACGATGCGTAGGAGTGGTACGAAAAGCAGAAGGAGAAGTACCGAAACTATCTTATGTTCATTACATCGGACAAGATCCAGCTGCACGGTGGGTGGTTTACGTCAATACAGTTACATAAGTAATTAGATTTTTTGCCAACGCTGTGAGTAGTCATCGTTTACTATGCGTTATGGTATGTGCTTGTGGATATAAATTGTTTTAGACACCATCAAACTTCTTGAAGTGGAATACCAAATCGTATCCCAAGAAATAAAAACGAGCACGGTCTCTGCAGTGATTTTCAAGAATCAAAACCGAACGCTCGATAGTGTTGTGGCAAAGGTTGTGTGGTTAATACATGAATTTTGTTTGCTTCGGGAATTATACAGGAAACAGTGGAATGCTTAGGTGAATCAAAAGCTCGGTGGCGTAAATTATAAACTCGTACTGGACTTGGATCCTAAATATAAGTAAGACTGTTTTTGAAACATTTTGCATTTTGTGGCTTAATTGACGAGTTTATTCCTTTCAATGCAAGGAACTGGCTATCCGACAGCCGCGTTGTTTTCATTGGTTTCAAAATTTCTAATTCGCTAGCGCAGCCGAAGGTGGAAAGTGAACGTGGAGCGATCCACAAGGTTTCTTTCATGTTCGGTGACTTGTTATCTGATGTGCTCTTGCTTTTATAAGATGTATTTTTTTAGATGCCATCAGTTCTTGGTTGGGGTGCAAACTGTACTGCTAACCCGCAACAGTTCATTGGCGAATACGTCTATGTTGAACCTCGTCAAAATGATGTGAGTAAGTTTTAATTTAGAATTCCTATATAACAGATCGTATGGCAGATAATGGGTTTGAAATTGGGAGAAGCTGTCAGCGATATTATCAAAAAACACCGTATGGCAACCTCTATCACTGCTCGACATATCATCATCTACTTTTCCGGTATTCCGGAAAGAGAATTCAGTATGGTAAGGTGGAATTTGGTGTTATCATCTTAAGACTCGCTTGATGTTTTGTGGTTCAAGATAGCTGATAAATACATGCGTGCTATCCGCATCTATCTTGCTTCGCTTTCGCTCGGAAGCGAACCAGATGTCACAGCTCTAGCAGTGTCAAGGGACCATAACGAGCGCATATACAGATCGGTTGGAATGTTTATTTTCTTATAGTCGTACATCATAACAAATTTTAAACTCTTCTTTTCTTATTCAAGAGGATTTCTGGTAAACATGCAGTTGAGCAGAACATACGTGGTGGTACAGTTATTGATACAAAAATTGTGTCACCAGTCATAAACGAATTTTATCTCAACGCGCACTCCGCGTTTCAGGTGAGTTATAAAGCGAATTGCCTGTTGTTTTTGCTTTCTGTCTCGTTGCACGTGAAAGTCTTGTATCCTTATAGGGAACTGCAAAAACCCCCAAGTACTCGCTTGTCGCAGATAATTCGCAGATACCGCTTGACGCTATCGAAGGGTTGACCTATGGTCTCTGTTACTTGCATGCAATTGTCAGTTCAACAGTAGCAATTCCAGTACCACTAGTTGTTGCTGATCGCTGCGCCAAGAGAGGACACAATGCTTATATAGCTAACCTGTAAGCTTACTTTTATTTAGTTGTGTAATTTGAGTTGATTGACTCTATAATTGCAGAAAGGAGCAGCATGTTTTTTTCAATGACATCAAAGGCGCAAACGAGCAGTTACTGAATTGTGGAGATCTTCGAAAAGTACGATATAACGCTTAACCATAGAATTTGTAACATTACGTTATTCAGTATCCACTTCGTTTTAACCTTACTTAAGTTTGGTGGCATAAATATTTTTTCTCAAGTGTTCTTCCAAGTCTGGACTTGTTTGAAATTGAAATTTGCACGATAGTGGGTAAGAGGCTCATGTTTTCGTTGCGAGCTCTTCAGCTAGAAACAACAGCATGAACTTTAAGCGACACCTGAGCAAGCTGGGCTGACGCGAGGCTGGTGTAAGTTGTTGTTGCTTGTTGTTTGTTCTTGGCTTTTTTTGTTGTCGTTGTTTGGTAGTTGGCGCTTCGGCGATTTCCCTTCATCTGAACCTAAACGCATTTTATGTAGCAATAGAGGTGAAGTCACCTTCTACAAGAGTATTCTACATAAAGGCGAAAGTGTGGACTCATACCATTGAAATTCTTGACGAGAAAGACTGTATCTATAGAATTTTTATGCATACTAGTAATGACTTCTTCGCAAGTGAATACGTGAAGCAATAATGTGGTTCACGAGCCATTTGCTGGGTGGTCTCTCATTGATCTAACCCTAGGGATGCACCTCGCACTACACTTCACTCTGAGTCATAGAGATAACTGAATGCATATTTCAGTTATACAATGAACTGGGTAGACCTCCAGTGGATCACGTCAGTGTTTTTGCTCTCCCAGACAAGTATCGGCAGCAATTTAGCAACCATGGACGGATTAGGGACTTTAGTGCGGTATCGATCCAACATGAAAAGCTCAGTGCTAAAAACAGTCTCTTCAAACTTATACGATGTCCTGTTTAACGCTGTAGGTAATAATGAATCAGAAGCCATCGATAACTAACGAATAGGTTTCCAATGTTATGTTCGAATGTCATACAGATATCAAACGGCCAGTCAAGGAGAAAAAGTGAAATGGAGGATGACACATTTACTGAAAAAAAAAGAACAAGATGTAGCAGCGATAAAAACACATTTGTTCCTGATACTAGGAACATAACAATAGGTACAGCAAACTAGTCTTGATCCATTTCCAATTGATACCTTGTAAAAAAAAGTTTGATTTGCTGTAGGGCTGAACTCACCGTAGGATTTTCGCGAAAGCGACAGTCGTAGGGAAACTAACAGTACTATAAGAAAGAGAAACTTTCTTGAAGAATGATTGATAGCCTAAAAAATGCATCACATGCTAATGGTTACTTGCAAAAACCCACCAAAATAGGATCATCGTGAGAGTCCGAGCTTCACCGGTGTCTGATATTCGTAGATTGCAATATTGTTAAAGATGAGCCCGAAAAATGTCGAACACTCCCATGTGACTCACAATGTTGATTCTTTGTTTAGTGCCTTTTACTAGTTTTTACGTCAGGGTGTTATTTGTGAAACAACAGCAATGATGTCGAGACATTTGCAAAATTCCTGACTGCAGGTGTCTGGGCCTCAACTTAACTGGGTTCAATGCCGATTTGGGCTCCCCAGATCAAACCCGTTAACGGCTGATTGCTGATGGCAGTGTTCGATAAGACATGTTGAGAGTTAGGCGAAACGAAGGAGATCTGCATAGTGTGATGGTGAGCGCGTTACTTTCCGGGGAGGGACAATAGCGCGTTCGTTCCCCACCGCAGACACCTACGGTCCGGAGTTTTACAAATATCTCAGCATTATAGTAGTTATATTTCGCAGAATACCCTGCCGTTAAAAAAAGGCAGTAAATAAAAAGATTAAGTTCGTGATTTTAGCTAAAAATACTGTTAAGAAAAAGGCAAAGTAAGGGCCTTGGGTGGAGTGATGGATAGATGGCTCGTGAGGTTCTAGTAAAGGTAGTTACGTATTCGAAGTAAACTGAGACTGTTTCACAGCTAAAAAAAATTTTAGCAACTCGAAAGACCGACTTTCTATAAAACTCGGCATAGATAGTTAATATATTTATTTATGTGATCTTATAAACTGATCTTCTTAAGCTGAAGCGAAGTTTGTACAGATCTTCGTTGTGCTTTCGATGTATGAATACGACAACGAAGATCGGTACCAACCTCGCGTCAGCTTAAGAAGATCAGTATATAAGATCACATAAATAAATAAAAACTATCTTTATTTATTGCGGAGAGAGATTGCCTGTTGCCTGCTGAGATTTACCGTATACGTGTGTGGCGAATTAGGAGATGATGTAATCGTTGCCTTTAATCTATGCAGTTTCATTTCTCGTTTGCTTTTAATTTTACATACTAGCAGAATGACTGATAGACTGCAGAGATTATCAAATAGTGAATCGTAGCATTTTCCTAATCGCTTGTGTGCAATACCGTATTTGAGATGTTTCAGCAAAAATCGCGGATGCAGTAGCTGCTCCGTGATTCCACATATGGAGATAAAGGCCAACGGTGAAGCGAATGTATGCGTCGGTAGGCTACTCTTTTTTGCCAAGGTCAGTATTTCTGCTCTAATGGCCATATCCGTCTTTTAGTTTGGGCACACGGAATGTTCTTCGTCGCAGGTACTGATAAACATTGGCTGGACGATATTTGCCAATATCGTGGAGGTCACTCTTCTTGAACATTGGTGCGATCTTGCTGGTCTTCCACTGAGTAGGGAGCTTGCATTCAGACAGGTAACCTGTGATGAAGCGAACCTGTTTATGAGGACATGGAAGCATGTTATTGGTGTTCGGATCTTAACGCGTCCGGGCCAGGAACTGCTCGGTTTTTCACCGATGAAATGGCAAGTTGGATTTCGTAAGTGAGAGCCGCTGTTATAACATATCCACACTCTTTTATTTCATATAACGAACGGTGGACGTAGTTATCGAAAAGGTTTGAGTAGTATTTGTGAATGATTTTCTCGATTGCCTTTCTGGACGCTGTAACTGTTCCGTCTGGGCGTCGGGGTTCAATCATACTCATGTTGTAATTGACGAAGTTTCAGTGGACTTGGTGAATGCTTTTCCCAGCTTCTGCAGCTTTGACATTACTGCTGTTGTTCTCTCTTTAAGATTTTTTTTTATCGCCGGCCTGCATTATTTTGCAGGTTCGGACAATAGTTGGCGGTTGCCTGCAGCTCGTGCGATTCTGCGCTTGCATATAAGCTCAAGAGTTTCTGGACAAAGACTTTTCTTGGTGAATTTTGAGCTCTCAGCTTTCATAGAGCTAACGTGAAGATGTTGAATGGGCCGATCGTATTCCTCGTCGATTTTTCCAACAACCGACCAATGAGTGGAATAAGCCCCGGTTCATAGTGGTCTTGGGACTTCGTTTTTTGAATTTAGCGGCTTTTTCTCCTGTCTACAAAGAATGGAATCTTGACCGAAGGAGGCAATGGCCTGATCCTATGTAGAATTTTAAGACAACAGAGACATCGGTTAGGCAATGCCTTTGGTTTGCTATGATGTAGTCTGTTTCGTTGCGGTACTCTCCACTGGGGGTGCTCCACGTCCTATTCTGGGGATGAGGCTCCTTTAATTGCGAGTTACCGTGAATGGCCTTGCTCGTCAAGGTAAACTAAGAAAGCCAATTACTCTATTAGTTCTATTCTAATTCGTGGGTCTCAATGTGACGTTCTTGGGACGTTTTCCTCGGCCGAATCTTGGCGTTAAAATCTTCAATGATGACTTGAGGAATGCATGGCCTTTTCTGTAGAACTTCTTCAAGTCCATATAGAATGCTTCGACTTGTTCTTCGTTATAGCTTGATATTGGCGCTTAAATGAGAAAAGTTGTTAAAGCGTTTATTGGTCTACGTATTTTCAATCCTAACCGTCCGATCCAGGTTGATAGTTGTTCAATTGAACCAATGTTCATCGGCAAACTCGTGTTGACGAGAACGCCGCGCATCGAGGACTCGGACGCAAGTGTACATGCATTGTAGGTACAGATCGTCACCTTAGTTCTTCGCGATCCAGGCAGCTTCTATTGGCCATGACATTTTAGCAGCCTCTCCATACTTGTCCTACCCAACCCTGCCGAAATGGGAGCTCTTTCAGGGTCAGCGAATGAGGTCCGTTTCTTTTTTTGTGTTTAGCATTTCGATACACACGTATAGCTTGCTAGGTTCTGAACGTGGAGGGTGCGTATACTCACGGGTAGCTAGCTTGTCACCCTGTCCCAGAGTGGACATGGAGCGCATTTGTAGGCGGCGACTCCTAACCGTCTCTCGTATATTTCCCAGTCACTTGATTGCAGGTTTTTGGCCGAATTGACTTATAAAATACAAGCCGCCTAAGCGAGAACGCACCCACACACGAGTGTATGAATACGCACGGCAAATTCAGAAAGTATGAGCCGAAGTGGCGCAGCAGAAACAGTAGTCCAACCTCTGGGTACACCTGAATCTCAGGAAAACACACGGTCTCCTTTGGTCCGTGATTAGCCCCCTATCCACCACCTGGTGCGCACGACGTAGCCTCGCGACTAATCGGCTCAACTTCGCTCATATGAAAGACTTCCGTGGTCAGGAGCCGTGGGACCAGCTTTTATGGAGTAATGAACGCATGCTCCGGTTACATTTCTTAGCGTTCAAATTAGCATGCTCTAAATGAGGTCCATCATGTAGTGGCACCGAGAGCCAAGTAACGAAAACATTCTGGTTTATTAGCTTTCCTTTAATCCTTCAGACGCAGCAGCGTGTGCTCAAGCAGATAGCAGAAGGAGTAATCCTCAAATTATTACGGCAAATAGCCTTTTCTGGCAGATACGAAACCGTAGTTTGTTGGGGACGCTTCCGTGGGTGAGCGATAGCACTAAACGATATGTGTAGACGAAATAACATCTCGCCTCTTTTGCTCTTCATTTCCAAAAGAACTGGTATAGCTAAAAAACGTTGCATAGAAAGGGCCGGTCTCGAAATATCGGTAGCAGTGGTTAAATTACCATTGAACTCTCTAATGCGTCATTTCATTTGTGACCGATATTTAACACCGTTTATGCAAGAAACAAAATTGCACAGTGTGCCCTAACGGTAGAGAAGGTGAGTGCTTGAGTTCCAGTACTGTGTGCCAAATTTGTTGTGAAGCATATGAGGTTGAATATAATTGAGGGAGTATCCACTTTGCGTCCGTATGAAAGAGCAGCTAATTGGGAAACTCACAGACAAACGGAACACTTCACTAGGCACTCATAGGACACAAGCTCATAACGGGGATATTTTGAAGTGGAAGTCACCATCTTCGGACAGGAATCCAGAACTTAAGCACATAAATCCTTTAAAATGTTCTGGACGAATTCCAAAAGGCAAAAAGTGAACCGCAGATGAAAATGCGTCATTTTCACGCGAGACTGCACTCGATATTTAAGACTAGTGTATTAAAGTGGAACTGGCTCATTATAAATTCGTGTGAGCTATGGGCAGTTGGTCTTGACGTAGAAAACTTAGCGGAAGACTGGTGGGGAAAGGTGATAGTGCGGAAAACGTGTTTTATATATAATTCAACTATAATTTATGTACAATGATATCCTGGTTAAGGTTATAGCGGTGTTTGGCTGACTAGGTTTCGGTTCACGTGCCCATCCAATGCTCTGACGAAGGCGAAATTCGTCGAAGTGCGTGTTGTTGTGACTAAGTAAAATGTAATAACAGTCTCGGCTATGCTGTTTACGAAAGTAGAGAACTACGTCTAACGTGTAACTTCAATAATGCTGAGATATTTGCAAAACTCCGGACCGCAGGTGTATGCGGTGGGGAACGAACGCGCCATTGTCCTTTCCGGAGAGTAGCGCGTTCACCACCACACTAACTGAGAGACAGGCGAAACGAAGGACTCGCGTGGTGTGGTGGTGAAAGCGCTACTCCCCGGAAAGGACAATAGTGCGTTCGTTCCCCACCGCGTACACTTGCGGTCCGGAGTTTTGCAAAT